TTACTCACCTCAACGTCAATCAACCCCCACCCCTCCCCACCCCACAACCCGACTGTTAAAGTTAAAAAAACTTGACATGCTCAAAGCTTATATGTGTTACGTTAACTTCCGCTCGCAGTTTTAAAAGAGCTGTCATTACGACTTTCTAAAGCTGGCATCGATATAGAATTTATATTTCTAGAGGTCATTGGCTTGCAAAACAACACTGCCTTCGTATGCTTCTAGATTAAGGAACTTCCTAATCGTATGCTTACGTTCTTATGAGCTATAAATATGCGCCTAACTTGATATATTGTTCCAAATAACTGGACACGAGTTCTTTTAGGACATACGACGTCATATCTATCACACGTAAACTTGACCATAGAAGCGTTATATTGCCAGTCAGCCACCAGTTAAGACCATTCTCTCTCAATACCTAACAGGTATTACCACAGTGTCTCACCACCCAGGAGGTATTACCACAGTGTCACCACCTAACAGGTATTACCACAGTGTCACCACCTAACAGGTGTCTCACCACCCAATAGGTACCACCACACTACCTGTTTAGTGAGCTATGCCAAGTCAGGTATCAGAAAGGTCTACTCTACTCGACCAAGATAACCATATGAAAGTGTTACTATCCCAATCCCATGGCACACTTCATATCCCATCCTATCCCAACTCCTTTACAGGGATCAAGTTTGTCCTCAGTGAACCACCTGTACAAGCCAACGGATTAACCACCTGACAACTTGTATTTAACGCCCCAAATTCTAGTTAGTGGTGATAAAACACAATGGAATAATGTTTCATCACCTTCTATTCAGTCCTGGTGATAAAACACAATGGAATAATGTTTCATCACCTTCTGACGGTCCTGATGATAAAACACAATGAAATAATGTTTCATCACATTCTGACAGTCGTGATGATAAAACACAATGAAATAATGTTTCATCACCTTCTATTCAGTCCTGATGATAAAACACAATGAAATAATGTTTCATCACATTCTGACAGTCGTGGTGATAAAACACAATGAAATAATGTTTCATCACCTTCTATTCAGTCCTGATGATAAAACACAATGAAATAATGTTTCATCACATTCTGACAGTCCTGGTGATAAAACACAATGAAATAATGTTTCATCACCTTCTATTCAGTCCTGATGATAAAACACAATGAAATAATGTTTCATCACCTTCTGACAGTCGTGATGATAAAACACAATGAAATAATGTTTCATCACCTTCTAGTTAGTCGTGGTGATAAAACACAATGAAATAATGTTTCATCACCTTCTAGTTAGTCGTGGTGATAAAACACAATGAAATAATGTTTCATCACCTTCTAGTTAGTCGTGGTGATAAAACACAATGAAATAATGTTTCATCACCTTCTGACAGTCGTGGTTATAAAACACAATGAAATAATGTTTCATCACCTTTTGACAGTCCTGGTGATAAAACACAATGAAATAATGTTTCATCACCTTCTGACAGTCGTGGTGATAAAACACAATGAAATAATGTTTCATCACCTTTTGACAGATACTGGTGGTAAAACACAATGAAATAATGTTTCATCACCTTCTGACAGTCTTGGTGGTAAAACATAATGAAATAATGTTTCATCACCTTTTGACAGATACTGGTGGTAAAACACAATGAAATAATGTTTCATCACCTTCTGATAGTCGTGGTGGTAAAACACAATGAAATAATGTTTCATCACCTTTTGACAGATGCTGGAGCAGACCTTTTCCCCAGGCTCATTCTATCACAATTTATGTGTGGGGCGGGAAGTTGTCGGTGAGATTGTTATTCTATAGTCTAAGTAATAGAACTAGATGTCACTACACATCACACTGTCTAGATGTTACTACATATCCCTCTATAGTTTATCTAGATGTCACTACACATTTCTCTATATAGATGTCACTACACATAACTACATCTAGATTTCACTACACTACCCTCTACCTAGATGTCAGTACACAGCCCTCTATCTAGATGTCACTACACTTAACTACATCTAGGTGTCAGTACACATCCCTCTGTCTAGATGTCAGTACACATCCCTCTAGATGTCACTACACATAACTACATCTAGATGTCAGTACACATCCCTCTATCTAGATGTCACTACACATCCCTCTATCTAGATGTCACTACACATCCCTCTATCTAGATGTCACTACACATCCCTCTATCTAGATGTCAGTACATTTCACTATATAGATGTCACTACACATAACTACATCTAGGTGTCAGTACACATCCCTCTATCTAGATGCACTACACATCCCCATGTAGTCTGTTTATAAAGTCCAGTATTAGTTTACAAAGCTGCCCATGAAGAAATAACGTCATCAGTCTCCAACCTGTTAAAGTCGCTCTTGTACATTTTAAGTTCTCGCAGTTTCCCCACCCCCCCCCCCCCCTCAGGTGAAATGGCCTAGAATGTTTATCATACGTTACCCAGCATTCCCACCCCAAGGTGCCCAAAATTTTGAGCCCTCCCCCCCCCCCCCTCCCTTCCGAAAGTTCCCGAAATGTTGAGTCTGTCACCCCCAAGGTTCCAAAAGGATTGAGTACCCCCACCCCAAGGTTCCCCAATTTTGAGTCTGTCCCCCCCCCCCCCCCAAAGTTACCGAAAATTCGAGTCTGAAGGTAAGAACGCCCCACAAACAAATGCCTTTAAGCTTATTTTATGACGGTATTAAAAGAAAACCCCCACATACAACATACATTATTATTTCTCAAAGCCGCTTCTAACTGAAAGAAAAGAAAGGCCTATTAGCCAAGATGGCTGTCGCGGTGTTCTGTGTCCGCCATCGTTGTCATGGCAACAATAAACTTGAAAGGCTAAGGCATCCGGTCCGTCATTTTCTTCCTAAAATCCCTTGAATAGTGGCAAATTATTCTCTACCCTCGCTCCATGCATCGATTCTTCATCCGGGAGACAGAGAAGGAGAGAGAGAAGGAGAGAAAGAGAGAATGAAGGTAGGACGAGGGAGGGAAGAACGGAGGCAGGGGGCTTGCTTAGGGCTTTCTACTTTGACTCGAAAGAATCCGGTTTCGTTCAAAATGATGGCCGAAGGAGGGGAAAAAACTCTGTCTTAGAAAAGGGAAACAATATCTTAAAAGACAACTTTTTTGCGTGTCTTATTCATGTCATTATTTCTTCATCATCTTAGTCTTGTCATTATTTTTTTTTTTCATTTTTACTCGCAGTATTATCTTTATTATCTAATTCTTGTCGCCATTTCCCATCACTGTGTTGTTTTTATATGTTGTTTATGATTTAAATATTTTGCAATCATGTTAGTGATCTTGTATGTGTGGTATTATAAGATCTTTTAATAACAATCTGTTAACACTTTTCTGTTTGATCTTTTGGAGTTTTCAAATTACATGTTTGAGGCAAAGAAAAAAAGAGAAAAAAAGAAGAAAAAAAAAAGAAATTTTGTAAGAATTGCATATTGAATAATCTCATTGTATTGTATGATCTTTTAGTATTTGCATGATCTTTTAAGATTTGTATGATTTTTTATATGTGTATGATATTTTTATATTTGTTTGATATTTTTATATGTGTGATCTTTTTATATTTGTTTGATCTATTTATATTTTATGATCTTTATATATTGTATGGTCTTGCCATTTTTAGGATATTGTCTTATTATATTATACAATCATGTTGTTTTGTATAATCTCGTCATATTGTATGATCTCGCTTTTGCAATATGTTACGTTAGCCAGCTTTTTTGTTGAAAAAATGTTATTTCAAAAATTCTAATTAACTCTCCTTAATTATTAATTAAATGGTAAAATTCCATCGACTTAAGAAAAATAGTTTATAAAAAAAAAAAATTAAAAAAAATATTAATAAATCATATTTCGCTGGTGGATAAGTATTAAGACAATTCTACAGAACTATTTTGGTAAGAATTAAAACTGGTATTTTCATGGTTATCTCCCTTGTATTTTCCCCGTGCAATATGGAGGCAGTTTAACTGACTACGGTGGATAATAATTCGGTTTTCAAAAAAAAACAACAACACATGTACCACTCTTATGGAAGCGACAGATGCATATTAAATTAATAAAAGATGAACACGATTACTTATAAAAGGTATTTATAAATTCTCCTATTAATAAATACTTCTTCAAGGTCGGGGAATGGTGTGTCACTCATTTTCATGATTTCAACATCCAATAATAAAGTAAAATATGTTTTCTTAAAATTCCCAAGTCCCTTGGAATTTCACACAAAAATTAGCTCAAAAATATTTAAAATAAATGTTATTTCTGCCTGTTCACAAGGTTTCCATATTGCCAGGATTTATGGTGAGCATGTGTTATATTTGTGGCAGATATTTTAAAATTTGCTTTTACCTTTATGAGGTAATTTTATGACACGCTGTTTAAGACACGGTGCTTACTCTGACCTAATTAATCTTGGACAACCTACACACAACACGCCAAAAGCTTAACACTAACCTGAGCTATAAGCTTATTAGACCATAACAGTAACCCCTCACTTTATGCTAACTGATGCTAGCCCTAATCTAGACATGTTTAACTAGCTACACACTTCTCTCTAGAAACCTGACGCTAACTCTTAACACATGTGTAACTAGCTATTCACGCCTCTAACAAATCCCGATGCTAACCGTAACCACAGCATATTTAACTAACTACGCACACTTCTCTCAAAACCTGACCTTAATCCGAACCTACCTTTGTGACTAGCTTGCAGAGTTTCTTCCAGGCATCTATTAGGGAGGGGGGGGGGAAGAAAGGAGACCCCCCGAAGAAAGTTTACCGCCCCCCCCCCGAACGAAATGGAATTTATATAGAAAATATATACTTTTGCCAGTGTCCGCCGCCCCCCCCCCCCCCAAAAAAAAACAGAACATAAAAAAATCAAGTGCCTCCCGGAGAAAAACTTCTGAAAGAAACACTGCTAGCTAGTCAACCCTAGCTAATCCTAACCACACTACTCACATCACGTCCAACACCTGCTCCCTCTATGCTTATCCCTGTGGCCTTGACAAGATCTTCGTTGACATTTTCTGGAATAAAAAAAAAATTTAACGTGTAAATTACAGTACCTACAAGCAACACACAACATATGCATGAGATGGTGTACACATAGCAAGTCAATAACTGCACACAATGAAATCTTGACATGTCATCTGTTACAGATAAACAACACCGATGGAGTGACATATGACATGTAGATGACATATAGGAGTTAAGACATTAATGAAAATAGAACATAAGTCAGTTGGGCGAATTGAAGTGCTCGGCAAATGTGAAACGTTGCAAAAATTATGTTGTTTGTAAGCTAAGCTGTCCTCTAACAAAATAGCCGTCATGTAATACAGTTTTGCTGTCCTCAAACAGCACTACTGCCCCATGACAGTTAACTATCCCACCACTACTTCGTCAACATTTTAAAAAATCTACCCTTTAAAAAGTTTATAAACAAATTATTCACAAACAGCAGTTTTAAATTTTTTTCCAGGTATGTATTCCAACATTTTTCCGGATATGTATTCCAACATTTACGCAGCTGAAGAGGACGAAATGACAGATGATTGAAGGCTTATGAAGTGATTAGCTCAGGGCTAAAACACAACTCTCATTGTTATATAGACCATTTAGGAATTAATCAGGGAAAACCTGATTAATGTATAACAAAACAGACAGAAGACACGGGTCATAGAAATATTGTGATGCTTGTTGATTTAGATATCCGCTGAGTTCATCTACGATGTTTGATTTGATCTACCCTCTTCAATCTTACATTTTAGAACAAAGACAAATAACAGGACAAAAAGGTCATTTATTGTATAACAGGGCAATGAACTTCTCAATTTGAAGGTTTTTTTTAGGAGTTGGTGGAGTTTTAAAAGGAAACAATTGTGTGAAGAATTTGAAGAAATTTTTCCGCTGTTGTTTAAAAAAAATCAAATCTGTTGCAGCACGGAATCTGACGACCGATATTTGGATAATGGCTGGTCTCTTCGATTTGCAACCAGTCGCTTAATGAATACACATGGTGAAGTAGAGTGGGGCAAAGGTGAGTAGGGTTGATGGGGTGGTTATGGTTGTGTGGGGGAGGTGAGGAGGGTTAATGGGATGGCTATGGTTGTGTGGGGTTGGGGGAGGTAAGGAGGGTTAATGGGGTGGTTGTGGTTGTGTGGGGGAGGTGAGAGAGGTTAATGTGGTGGTTATGGTTGTGTGGGGTTGGGGAGGTGAGAGGGGTTAATGGGGTGGTTATGGTTGTGTGGGGTTGGGGGAGGGGATTAAGCTGATGTTTGTGAACGTTTGCCAGGTGTAAACATGCTTGCTAGGTAATGTTTAGCGAATAGGGAACTAGCAGGCGTCCTTACGTTGAAACTAGAGCTAAGGACATGGTGTCATTTGAGCTGTGAAGTAGAGTTTACCAAAAGATTTCCTGATATATTTTATTACATTCTCGTGAGCAATGTTCAAACCTTTCTTCCCGTTTTAAAATACAGCAGTTTTGGAAGTGTCATTTAGAATACTTCTGTCATGTAGAATGCTACTGTCATTTAGAATGCTACTAATCGTCGTTTAGAATAATATATCTTCAGTCTAGCAAGTCTTCTACCATTAGCTATATTTCAACGTTAAAAAAAATTAACGATAATATATTAAAATTTTGACTGCAATAATTCTTAGTATTATTAAAACTAATTATATTCTAATAACTATTTTTGTTTAAAATTTATTTTCGTTGTAAAAACTACTTTATTCTTATATATCCGTTTGTATTGTGGTAGATCTTGATATTAAACCAACAATTACATTGTGACATATGTGATAACTTATTATATCATTAATTATATAATATGTATTAATTAATTACCCAGCGATGGCTAACAAACGAGCGATGTGTCGGCCTGTGTAACAAGAAACTAACTCGTGAAAACTGATCACTTACACACCCGGCATTCCCACCGGGATTCAATCGTGCCACGCGGGCGTTAAATCAGTTTTAAAGATCAACGAACCTGCCGTCGTCACGATCAACTATTGAACTTCTCCTCAGCAGGTCATCAAGTCACATGACTTCAAGCCCAGAAGATGGATAGTGGGACATAAGGACGCCGTAAATACAAATCCCATGTTACCCATTCATTCCAAACGTGATGTATTATTTCGCATGTTTTTATAGGATAATTTCCACCACACGTAGTGTTATTTAGCCGGACATTCAACTCTAGACCTAACTCGCTGTGCTGGGTAGTTAAAATAAAGCCTTATATTTCAATTCCTGTCTTCATTTGAATGTAACCTAGACAAATATGTTAAAAGCTGAGTGTCAGGATTTAACTAGAAAGAATGACGTCCGATTAACGCCCATTACTTCTAGGAGGTTCGCAATTCATTTTGTCTCTAAAAGAAAACATTTCTGACGTTGTCGCGAACACGCAGGGCCATTAACTCCAAACGGGTGGACATTCGCCATATTTTCATAACCGATAGAGCTAAAACAACACCTGGCTGAGAGAGAGTTAAAGCAACACACGGACATACACGCTGGTGAAGCTAATTTTTGAAAACGATGTTGAAATTGGTCAGTTTTATGAGAGTTGTTTACATTTTAAAGGAGAAACGGAACTCAGGCTTCAAACGTGACATATTTTTGACAACGGGGAAATATTAGTTCCAACTGTTTTAGTATTTCTTTGACCATTTGTTGAGTTCAAAAAATAGAAAATGTAACTGTTATAAGACCGCGGTATTGATATTTGAAATAACAAGCTCATGTTTCTATAACATTTGTTAGCTTTTCACTGTTACATTTACGATTAGCTTTCTCATCTATTTCGATTTTCTAAATATCAAAATAAGATTTTCCGTATTAAAAGTATTATTGTTTACTTAGATAATAATAATAATTACTCTTATTAAAATTAATATTATTTTTTTTGCAACGCTGGAGTCTGGTTTTAAAAATGGTACAGGACAGAGGACTCTGGAGATCTTTAGATGGCGGCCCATACCCCAGCAGCGGTGAAGGGTAGATGATGATAAAACCAAAATCTGATGTAGAATGAAACAGCTGGTATTGTTTATGAGGTTTATTTTCTGTAGTCGCGTCGCAAGGAGCAAATTAATTACCCTTCGTGGGGGGGGGGGGGGGGGGGGGGGGGGGGAGGGAAGAAGAACGTCTACCCCCCACCCCCAAATTTTATACAGAAAATACATACTGTAAATTTAGTCCGCCCCCCCCCCCCGGAAATTCCAAGTGTGCCCCCCCCCCCGGAGAAAAAGTCTGAAAGAAACACTGCCCAAAAGATATTTAATTAGCTGATCTACTTTTTGTTTAAAAAAGATGCGCATATTGCCGTTTGCACTTACACATTTAGATTGTTGCGACATATAATTAATTTGTTTTAATGTTAAAATCAACATGCGGAGGTCCACATGAATCCACCCCCCCCCCCCCCGTCTATACGCGTAAACATGACAATTTTCAGACCCCCTCCAACTTATAGTATCTGTAAGATTATCTGTCATACTCTCCTTCACTATCTTAACTTTTGTTGTATTTGTGTTTTAAGATTTACTCTTAATAGTCGGGTTCATTACTATCGATCTATTCAGATCTGCTTACTATACTTTCTTATTCTGTCTTCTATTTTGTCTGTTTATTCTATTGTCAGGTATATACCAGTCTGTTATATTGTCTTTTTTTTTCTCTGTAAGAAACAAATCATGCAACATCCTTTCAGTGGTTGAATTTAGAAACAGACATTTGAAAAGCTTTCCCTCCCATACAGTTGGTGGTTCAGGGAGTTCTTTCAATGTTTATAGCAGACGACATCTAGGGTCAAAAGGTACTTCATCAAGAATGAATAAAGTAGGAATAAAAGATGAATACAGTTGAATCGCAAATTATATATAAATGGGGCGTTTATTGAATAAACTAACTGACTTACATTGCACTTTTTAGATCTTTGAAAAGTTTTTCAGTTTCTTTTTTTTTTAAATTTATATATATTTCTTTACAATAATAATTACATTAATAAGGTAAGTTAATTTAAGCAAGAAAAATAATTATTACTTTTATAAGGCTACAACCAAAGCCATAGAAATGAAAACAATGTTCTTAAGAAAACCAAATTTTCCAGGGTTAAATAAATAAAAACTTTCCCCAAAAATGTTTTTTATGGAAAAAAAAACAAGATAAAAAAAACTCCGGTAAATAAGAGAAAAGGCTCGCTGCCAGAACTTAGGCATAAGGATCGAATAAATTCCCCAGTAGAACGTAGGAAGTAGTTGACCATTACGAGCTTTGTGAAAATCAAACGGAGTTGGGGAAAGTTGAAGTCTTTCCTCGGATGGAAATCCGACATTCGAGATTCGGAGTCCCGGAGGATTTAAATCTCTATCAGGAGCCGGGCGAGAGATGCAGGGCGGGGGCACAAGGCTGAGTTTATAGCCCCTCCCTGGGGCAGGGCACTCCCAGATCTGCTAACCCCGTCCATATTAAAGTTGACAGACCCCAGGAAAAGTCGTGTCGTTTGGTGTGAGGGTGGGGCTCTGAATTCTACACGTCTTCACTCAAAGAAAAATAAAAAAAATCAACACATCATGACGTCACGGAAACACATCCCTGAACTATTTAGATTCTTTGATCAATTTATCGACTAACAGACTTTAAACAAAAGTAATGCGAAATCGTATTCCGTTCGTGTATGATTCCCCGCGTTAAGGCGACTCTTGGAGCTGAGATTTCACCAGTCGAGGAACCAGCGAGGTCCCCGAGGTGTCGGCAAGTCTTTCCTTGGAACAAAATTAAATCTGGCACTGAGCACATCCTGACGGTATTACAGGATGGCTGGTGCCAGCTTTCATTATCCCATAACTGACCAGAAGTCTGCCGGTAAACATTAGACGTACCACATAAACCCTAACTCACCCGGACAGCCCCGTGTCCCCGACCCCCAGCCGTACACGAACTAGGGACGGGGGCCGGGGCTGGGGATGGAGATGTTAATGCCCGGGGTCGGGTCGTGAGTTGCCCATTAGC